GGAAACACCGGGAAGGCCGAGCTAGCCACCTGCTGACACGCCGGCACCCACACACAGATCTGAGTGACCGTCGACGTCACTGAGAAATTGCTTAAGGAGTTGCAGAAATAGGCACTAAATCACACAGTTACAAAATTAAAAGTAGTTAAGAAAGCTTTTCCTGACAAAATGAAAGATAGAAACTGGAAAAAGGAAAAAACAGGCTAGTCTTGGAAGGCAGGCAGATGGGTTTTTTTTTTCCCCCCTCCTTGCATGGCTGATGCACTAGATCTTAATGACCATGTAAACTTGCAGAGGCACGGCTAGGTAAGAGGACCACTGGTTTACAACCACTTCTGGCCATGAAGTGGACAGACTGCAACTGCTGATGTTCCTCCGTTAGTCATCCCTCAAGCACCTGCCTCGCTCTAAACCTGCAAGACAATAAACGTCAAAGAATTGACTCCACAAGCAAGTCTTTTGGTGAATGCAGGACGCTGGTCGTACAGGGGATGGTCTTCTGCGCTCAAAAACCAGCGAGGCTGGTGCGCAATAGTACTTGGGTGACAGCACAAAGTAACGGAACACCCTGAACTTTGGCAACGTCCCTTTTTACCTTTGATACAAAATAATTTCTTGCACAAAAAAAAACTATTTTCATCCACAGCCAGAATCAAATCAAAGTTCAAATCCGATTTAGGAGAGGGACGCTAACAACCGCGTTACCTAATCCCGACTCCGCAGCACAGCCACCACCAGCACGGGGAAGGGTTGTCACAACTGAAACTGCTCATAGCCACAAACCCAACCGTGTGAGAAAACATTTCCCTGGTGGGAACGAAAGGCTTCGTTCCCACCATGAAGAGGCCAACTGGCCCAGGGGTGATAATTGTAAATACCAGCTGTGCCCTTCTCCTCCGTGAAGCCAGCACCGTGGTAGGACGCCGGAACAGCACGCGCCGTCACCGACGGCCTGTATCCTAAATGCTCAGCAAGGGACCCCCGAATTCCCCCCTCCCCAACCAGAGCGTTCAAATCCTTTCCGAAATCAGCTGCCAACACCTTGCCCTCTTCAGCAAAAGGCCCCTTTGCTGCATTTTAAGCTACGCAGCGAAGAGCCAGCCCGGGACTTCTGGTTTGCGGTTGTTTTCGCAGCTCTTTGAACAACACTCCTGGGAGTGTTTTAAACTAATTGCGCCTGCTGTTGAGCGGCATGGACTTGAGACACCCGCTGATACGCAACACGCTGCCGCGATGTGTCCTTTGGCTGAAGATCAAATGAACACACCTCTCCCGGCTGGGCCTCCCGGGCACCCCTTCCTCACCTACAGCTCCTTACGTTCAAGACCTACGTTTTTATGTTCAGACCTAAGTTTGAGCACGAGGAACAGCTTCCAGAGAATTGCTGCAGCACGTCACGAACGCAGCAAACGTCTTCCCTAACCTGTCGCGAGAGTCGTCCTGAAGGTGCACTCCACGGCAGCTTTTTTATCCTCCGAATGCCATAGTATAATGCAGTAATACCAATCCTTCTCGGGCAGGATTCACACAAGCGGATGCTCTCAAGAGACATGGGATAAAAAAGGCACCGTCTGGTCTGCTCAGATACTGGTATGGGTGGAAGACAACAGAGAAACAGCCAAGCAAGGCCTCTAAAATGGGAGTTATATCAGAAAGCAACAGATGACTTGGAAGGGGAGGGAACGGTGGGAAGAGAGGGGTTTGGAAAAGATTTTCACTAGCCTGGTCTCCCGAGTATCAAGTTTCTTCTTGTGATGTGCCTGTTTTTACAAAGTCAAACATCCACTGAATCTGATGCAGGGACAACAGCCTCGAGTTGTTAAAAACATTTATCAAAATAAGCAGCCGGGTGGGGAACAGACGGTTCGTTTCCCCCGCTGGGGGAAAAGCTCATTCCTCAAACAGGAGGGAGTTTGTGGTGGACGGAGACCCCAAAACACAGAACTACAGGAGGCCGAGCTCCACCGGCGCCTCCGCTCGCCCCAGAATTTAGATCCCGCTCGTTGTTTGTTTTTAAAGATAACCCAGCCAGTGCCACCCTGGTAACGAGAGAAGGTTAAACGAGGCAGAGAAGCGACCAAACACCAACTGAGAAAACATGAAATAAGAGACAGGCATCGGATCGCCCGTACCCGCGGGGGGAACAAAAGGTGACGGCACAGAGGCGTGGTATCACCCGAGTCTCGCCACCCAGTTTACGGAGAGCGGGCTGGAAAAATAATCAGCATCTGTCGGTCATTTCAGATGCAAACCCCGTTTAGGTCATTAAGAGACTGCTGTTCGAACCCACTGGCGTGAGGAGCAAGCGTCTTACGTATCCGCAGTGGGGAGCATCGCGCCTTTACAGCTATAGTTGCTCAAAACTTAAAAAAAAAGCCATGTTCTAATTAAAAAAATTCCTCTTCACAGCACACTCTCCTCTTCCAAGAAAAGTTATTTCGATGCTCTGCCTCAGAATTTAATGAAACTTGAACCATGTCCAGAGGGCTCTTGGAGGATAGGATGAAATCCCAATTCCCCAGCCAGGCCCTCCATCTGTAGCTGAGCTGCGCGTTATAAATCGTCTGCGCTCAGCTCCCAGTGCTGGGCCCAAGCACGTTTGTCTGCCTGTCTCTACACAAGCACGGGATGTACACACAGCCCAGGCAGCGCCAGACAGACAGAAGAAGTCCCATCCCGCAGCTGGCTAACGACATCGGACCCGACATCGTGCAGAAAACAGAAGTTTGCACCTACGCAGCAGCACCCGGCGTGGCAAGACCGCCTCGTTTCTGAGCCGCAGTTGCCCTGATTAAATCACAGCTGACTCCTCAAAAAAAAACTAGTGAGGTTCAGTCACTCTGAAGAATGATCGTTTTGTAGATGAGAAACATTTTGCCTGCCCTGCATCTGTTTTTGGTGGGCGAAGGGCAGAACTGAAGACCAAGCAGGAGGTACACGGAGATCCTCCGTCAGATCCTCAGGTGGGAAAACACGGCTGTAAGCTGCAGCTCCGACACCTGAAGACAGGGAAATACCAGCACCAAGACAGATACCACCTCCACCGCAGCAGAGGACAAGCGCATCGGGTCCTCCAAGAAGCTCACAGCATGGATGAGAAGCGTTGTGTCTTCGGAGAGGAGATCTGACCCGTTCTCAAATTGCTTCAAGCATTCTCCGCTGGGAATCGGTCACCAGATGGCTGGGACACTTCTGCACGAGGATCGGGACGTCTCGGACATCAAGAGCACCTTTCACAACCCGAGCTGGGAGGCAGGCACTGAACTGATCTCATCACAACTCCCACCGGTTGCCTCTCCAAGCTAACCGGATTGAGATATTTAATTTTTGTCTCATGAAAACGCAACTCGGGGCTGAGCCCGACCACTGCACGTGCGAGAAAAATCTTCACGTGGCCACGAGTCACAAGGTACACCCTGTGTGCCTCAGAAAGCTCGCGGGAGGAAAGCTCCAGATAGCTCCAAGATCAGAGAGGACAACGGCTCCCTGCAGGTCCCCCAAGCAGGCTCCCTGCGTCAGCTCCAGCAGCCCCAGCTGGGGAGGATGCTCGGAGCAGCAGCCGGCACTGCAGGGCCAGGACAACCCGAGCTGGAGACCTACGTCACCTTTCAGAGGACATTAAGCAGCTCTAGAGCCAAGGAGCGGCCAGGTCTGACACCCTGATGGTCCCTCTCAAATAGGGACCCACAAGAAAGCTGCTGTGCTACTAGAAGAGCTACTTCTAGTTAACGATATTATAAATAGCAGCATCAGCTTCGCCCTGATTTGCATCCCTAGAAGGCTCTTCTCTATGTTTTACCAAAACGTAACCAAATGTTGTTAAGCACCAGTGC